TAATCTACACTAATAAAAGAGAAACATGCAAATTGACCATCCCTTCACTATGCCCACCAGCCAATCAGAGCAATATGCAAATTAACCCAACAAAGATGGTGGTTAATTTGCATACACAGGCTAGGAGCGAAGCAGTGGAGAAGGGAGCAGAGCTGAGGCAGCGGACACTGGAGGGAGTGAGGCAGCAGAGACGGGAGGGAGCGAAGTGGCGGAGAAGGGAGGGAGCGAGGCTGTGAAGACAGGAGGGAGTGAGGCGACGGAGATGGGAGGGAGCCGAGGTGGCTTCGCTCCGGCCTCAGGAAGCCCTATTCTTGCAGGAGTCTTCCTGCAACGGGCCTCTAGTTAACAATAATTCCTTAATGTCATCTAATACCTTGTCTATGCTTAATTTTCTTCAACTGTCTCAAGAGCTGTCTTTTCACACTTGATAAGGAACACATATTGAAACTAGTTTATTGTTCTTTTAAGGGTCCTTTAATGGATACCAATGTACTCTGCCCTTTTTAAAACTTCATTTACTTTTGGGGAAAAACTATAGAATGTCCCACATTCTGGATTTGGCTTATTATCTTTGCAGTGTAAATTAGCATATTCTTCTGTCTCCCTATTTCCCCCTTAAAATTAGTACTTATATCATCAGGTTTAATTAGCTCAAATTCTTTTCTCAGGAGTATTTTGTAGGTGAAGCTGTGTAATGTCTATTGCTTTATATCCTGTGGCACATTCAATTCATTTGGTCTACTTTTGGTGACATTAAGATTAATTACAGGGCTCAGGTGTCATTAACTGAGATCCATTCATTATAATTTCCCATTAGCCATTCACCTAATGGTTTCAATAACCACTGTTGATTGTTACCTAGATCCATTATTTCATTAGGTATTGCAAAATAGTGATTTTCTAATTATATCATTTGTTCTGCAAGTATTAGCTGTGATTCTTTTATTAAAGAAGAATTTTCCTTCAATAGGTCTTTGGGTAATCTGAACTACAGCTCATACAGGAAAGGTAGAATAAATGCTTGATCTCTACCTTTATCAGTTTTCAGAATAATGAATTGTTGCTTTATTTTGCTTTTCTGCTGGGTCCCTATGGTGGTTTAAAATATTACTATATTATTTTTCATCTCCATGTAGCACTTCTTTATCTTACATCATTGCTTTTCTGTGACATCCTGATGTGATTTCAAAAAAGAACATTCCCTAAGTCTTCTTGAGTGTATAAATCATGAATCTCCTCAAAATTCTTTTGCGTTGTATAAGTCAGTAGGGAAAAGAAACCACACTAGATTTTTCAGTCTTTAGTAGGTGGAAATATAATATAGGACATTGGTTACAAAAGTAATAGGAGCTCTAAAGAAGTAAAAAGGGAAAGATATTAGTAACTGCAAGAAGTTACTACCCTTCTTAAATGAAGGAAAAGGAAAAGGGTGGTATGCAGTGACCTCAAGAACTTCACCACAAAGGTACTGCAGCAACTGAAACTGACGTTGAGCCAATGTTGCTACCACCAGTGCAGGGAGCCTCGGACTCACAGCCCCACTGGTGCTGCAGTGGTTCAGAAGACCTCTGTTCTTTAGATTCGACACATAAGTGAAATAATATGGTACTTATCTTTCTCTGACTGACTTATTTCATTTACCATAATACCCTCTAGGTCAGCCGTGGGCAAACTATGGCCCACGGGCCGGATCCGGCCTGTTTGAAATGAATAAAACTAAAAAAAAAAAAAAAAGACCGTACCCTTTTATGTAATGATGTTTACTTTGAATTTATATTAGTTCTCACAAACACTCCATCCATGCTTTTGTTCCAGCCCTCCGGTCCAGTTTAAGAACCCATTGTGGCCCTCGAGTCAAAAAGTTTGCCCACCCCTGCTCTAGGTCCATCCATGTTGTCTCAATGGCAAGATTTTATTTATTTTTATGGCTCAGTAATATTCCATTGTACTAGTATATACATACCGCATCTTCATCTATCAATTGACACCTAGATTGCTTTCATATATTGGCTATTGTAAACAATGCTGCAATGAACATAGGGGTGTGTTCTTTTTGTTTTCTTCAGATAAATACCCAGAAGTGAAATTTCTGTGTCATGGAAATTTTTTTGAGGAATTCCCCTACTGTTTTCCATGGTAGCAGCATTAATTTATAATCCAACAAAGCACAATGGTTCCTTTTTCTCCACATCTTTGCCAACACTTGTTATTTGTTGTCTTTTTTTATAACAGCCATTCTGATAGGTTATATCAGAATGATAGTGATATCTTATTATGGTTTTGATTTACATTTCCTGGATAATTAATGATATTTTACATTTTATTTTTGATACTATTACAGATATCCCCCATTTACAACCTCCTTGGTCCCCCTTCACCTAGTCTCTGCCCCACCCCAGGCTTATTTTCATGTGTCTGTGTGTCTTCTGAGGAGAAATGTCTATTTGGGTCCTCTGCCCAGTTTTTATTTGAATTATTTGTTTTATGATGTTGAGTTGTATGAGTGCTTTTAGAAATTAACCCCTTGTTCGAAATGAGAGTAGTACTTGGTTGAGGAATGGGCAGAAAAGATGAAGGAGATTAAAAAGTACAAACTCCAGTTATAAAATAAGTCATGGGGATATAATGTACAGCATATGAAATAGAGTCAATAATCCTATATAATAAAGAGGTAATATACAAATTAACCCTCACACCCTCACAAGATGGCTGCCTATAGCCAGGATGGCAGGGGGGTTAGTGAAGGACGACCAAACGACTGAACAAGCAGGCTGTGTGGGGCGATCAGGCCAGCAGGGAGGTTAGTGAGGGACAACCAAACAACTGAACAAGCAGGCTGCATGGGGTGACCAGACCACCAGGGAAGTTAGTGAGGGACAACTAAATGACTGAACAGCAGGCTGCGTGGGGCAACCAGGCCAGGCTGGGGGCGACCAGGCCTGGGGGGGGGGCAGTTAGGTGTGATCAGTCTGGCAGGGTGGGGGCAGTTGGGGGCAACCTGGCCAGCGGGGACGGGGAGCAGGATCAGGCGATCAGGCCGGCATGCAGAGGCAGTGAGGGGCAATCAGGTTGGCGGGGGCAGGGGGTAGGAGCAGTTAGGGGCAACCAGGCAGGCAGGCAGCTGAGCGATTAGAAGCCAGCAGTCCAGGATTGTGAGAAGGATGTCTGACTGCCGGTTTAGGCCCGATCCCCCGGCAGTTGGACATCCCCTGAGGGGTCCCGGATTGGAGAGGGTGCAGGCTGGGCTGAGGGGACACCCCCCCATGCATGAATTTTGTGCACCGGGCCTCTAGTGTTGTAATAACTATGTATAGTGACAGATGGTTACTAACCTTATTATAGTGATCACTTTGTAGGGTATGTAAATGTTGAATCACTATATTTTATACCTGAAATTCATATAATGTTGTATGTCAACTATAATTAAAAATAAATTTAAAAAATATACAAAGGCGAACTTATCAAACTTTTCCTTTGTGGCTTTTGAATTTTATGTTAGCTAGAAAGAGCTTATCCAATCTTGGACTATTTTTATTCTTCCATTTTTAAACATTTAAACCTTTATACTTAAATAATTGATCTATTTTGAATTCATCCTGGCATGAGGTATAGATATGATTCCAATTTTATTGTCATATACAGCTACCCATTTCCTCTGCAGCTATTTCTTTGAATACTCCATCTTTTCCCTGTGGGTTGAGCACCTTTATAATCCACTAAATTATTTAATTTATTTGTGTCTATTTCTGGACTTTGTGTTCTGTTCCATTGATTTGTCTATTTATTCATATTTCAGTATTATTAGTTTAGTTACAATTTTAGTTAAGTTTTGTTATTTTGTAACATGTTTATCACCTAGTATGGCTACTTCTCCCTTGTTATTCTTCTGTTTAATACTTTAAAACAGTGGTTCTCAACCTTCCTAATGCTGCGACCCTTTAATATGGTTCCTCATGTTGTGGTGACCCCCAACCATAAAATTATTTTTGTTGCTACTTCATAACTGTAATTTTGCTACTGTTATGAATCGTAATGTAAATATCTGATATGCAGGATGTATTTTCATTGTTACAAATTGAACATAATTGAAGCATAAGTGAAACATAGTAAAAACAATATGTAATTATATATGTTTCCAATGGTCTTAGGCGACCCCTGTGAAAGGGTCGTTTGACCCCCAAATGGGTCACGACCCACAGGGTGAGAACCGCTGCTTTAAAAGCTTTAGGACCTCAAGAGGTTTTGGTCTACAGGTCTAGGCCGTCTTTTGTATGTCTATGCGACAGGAAAGGCTTTGGGTGAGTCTAAGTTCATGCAAACATGCAGTCAGTACCCAGTGTCCAGACTCTTTTGCTGGATGCAGAGAGAATCACAGTAAACTGGTAATTCAAAATGGTGCCTTTTGTAGGCATCATAGTTTAAGAAACTCAGAAAATGTTAAATAAATGTTGCTGCATAAATTCACTCCCAATTCTGCCTCAAACTGAAGAAGCAGGAGATGAGGGAGCTACCATTTTAGAGAGTCAGGCAGAAAGCCAACAAAGATTAAGGAACAAAAATGTATCTAGCATTGGATCTAGAGCAAGGCACCTAGATCTTGAATCAACACTACATTTATGAAAATTAGGCCAGGAACTACATTTTATTCCCATTTGGGTAATCTTCAGTTATCTTCCCTAGTTTGAATGTGCGCATGATTCAGTTTCAGTTCTGATTTATTAAGTTGTTACAGTCTGCTCTGGGAGAAAATAGGCATTCTTAAAAATCCTTCCCAAATTCTGCCATAGATTGCCTCTGTGAAAAGCCTGTTTTGTCACTTACTGGCTGTGGAACTTAGGGTAGGGATATCAACTCTCTGTGTAACCCCCTTCGCCCACCCCATTTCTCCTTTCTGTAAAATGTAAATAATAATAGCCTACTTTAGTGGGTTGTCTTGAGAACTAAATGAGATCATATGCCAGCTCTTAGCACAGTGCTTGGCCTATATTAGATACCAAGTAAAGTTACTTTAACTATAATGATGATCAGTGTATCACTTATTTTAACAACCAAGTAACCATATAATGAAATTTTTATTTTCACTTTACAGAAACCAGGGTTTTATGTCTTCTAATTTCCCTAGCTATGCTGTTACTGGAAGGGTGGTAATCAAACCTTGTTTTGAGTATATTACAATAAAGGATTCATGGCTATAAATCCTAAAATTAGGTATTTTCTAAACCTGATACTGACCAATGTAGGGATCTTCTAGCTTTTTCTTGTGCTTCTTCTGTTGATTACGTCTCCAGTCAAGCTTGACCCAAAATCCTTCATCGCATTTAAAACCAGCCTGTATTTCTTCCCCTCAGCACTTCATTATATTTCCTCAGTCATTCTCTTTAAATGCTGAAACATAATATCACTAGTTGTAACTGTATTCTACAATATCTAGTTAATTTTGAGGCAAAGCCTGGAGGCTTTTCACCAAGGTCTTCAGTATTTTATACTTTGTTCACATGCCTTAATAAAATAATAAAAATGAAATCACCTCTGGAATTTTAACACCAAAAGGTCTGTCTTATTCAGCCTTCTGTTTCTTCTTATACCTAAAACAAATAAATCTTCCCCATATCTAATGAGGAAGTTCAGCATCAAAAATGAGTAAATACTCAAAGTATAGTCAAGGATGGAGTTCAGATAAGCCCTAAGAAGTGTCAGCCATTCATTCCCTGGCCAGTAGAATATGTAACCTGGCTTATTGACCTAGGAAATGCTGGGCCACGTGTAATGAGTAGTTCAAGATATTGACTTAGTATTTCAGTGTTATGTTGAGGTAAGAAGATAACCTCATTCCTAAGAGCTCCATATGGAATGAGATAGATGCAGGAGGACGTGGGTAAGTGGTTAACCTTTTAGGGTCCATGTTTTAGGACTTTTTAAAAATGTTCTTTCTATCTATCTATCTATCTATCTATCTATCATCTATCTATCATCTATCCATCCAGCTATCTACTTACCTACATATTCATTTATTTGTTTTTCAATGCATTTGGCAAACACAAAACTTGTGGGGGGGAAATATGGCTAAGGCTAATTAGCGCCCCCTCCCACCTCACCCCCCGATTATTCTTAGTATCATAGTACTACGCTGGAATCTAATCTGAAAGATTTATAAAACCTTGGAGGAAATAAAACAGGAGTCAAAGACAAACTCAACTCAAACTGGTCAAATAATAGGGAACTTACTGGGCTCATGTAAATGAGAAGGCCATGATAGAGCTGAAATTGGTGCCCAATTTTTGGAATAGGTGCACATTTTCCCAGTGAGTCCAGCAAATGTTTCAGGATTCACTCTAATTGAACCAATTTTGTATATATGCCTATCCACAGGCCAAAAGAAGGGAATATACCGTTTTGATAGGCTTTAAAGTTGGAGTTAAAGTCATCTTTCCACCCCATTCCATGCCCAAAACTGTGTGAATTGAGAGCAGAGAAGGTGTGGTTTCCTATGGAATAATGAAAGTGACATTACCAGAAGAAGAGGAAAAGGGTGCGAGGCAGGCAAACAAAAATATTTACCAAATGTGGTCCAAAATGTGATGACACATGTTCCATTATTTCATTCATTCATTCAAACATTAAGAAAACAGAAATATTAAAGCACAGTCTCTGCCCTCAAGGAAATCATAGCGTTTTGATATCATATCAATACATTTTTATGATATACTAGAGGCCCGGTGCACAAAAATTTGTGCACTGGCGGGGGGGGGGGGGTCCCTCAGCCCCCCTTGTGCCCTCTCACAGTCTGGGACCCCTCGGGAGATAACGACCTGCTGGCTTAGGCCCGCTCCC